CAGGCTCTGGTAGCCGTCTGATTCGGGGACCGGAATGTAGACCGAAACGCGGACATAGGGATGCTGGTGGACTATGCTCCCCGAGTCCTAGACGGTACTTAATCCAGAGCCGCCCTCGTCTCTAAATTTTGTTAGGGTAGCTTAGTTAAATATTTATAGGAAAATTCGCAACTAATATCAAGCTTTTGTTTCAGGTTCGGATCTTTTCAGGTCTTGAAAGAATAACAGGAAGGCAGCATTTGGGTCCAAACTTTACTGAAGAGAACAGGCCACCGGGTGTTCAAAGTAAATCTTCATACGAAAGTAATAATCTCCAAAAGTTTGATTAGACCGAAAATGCAGGGTTTCATTGATATTAGAGATTGGGTAATGGGCAACGATGACAGAATAAGTGGTTCTTCATCCAAAAGTAAATAATAATTAGGTCCAGGCTAAAGAATGACGGACAATCGGACATAGAAATCAAAGATCTTCATAAAAAGCAATTGCCGAACGAAAAAGAACCAGGTAAGAGTCGGGACCAGCAGCAAGCACCTCAGGAACGGGTGCAGTTTATACTGTGAAAAATATAAAGGAAGATTAAGGCATTTTCAGCATGACGTACGTGTTGAAAATTTTATTCTTTGCGATTGCGGAGAGGCTCCCAGTACGACCAGATGATCGAATGCCATGAGCAGCAAGATTAGATCAACGAGTTGCGAGTTCAGGTCTCGGTTAGCGGTGAAAAATTCTATGATATCTAGAATAGCGACAGACTCACTCTGCCGGTTTCATCGTCGTTAAAAGATTATGAGATCCTGTTCTGGATGAGACGTAGTCCAAGGTAAAGTGTTCACGCCATTAGCCTTGCCGAAATATCAACGATACTCGTTGCCTGAGAGCTTGCAAAACAGCACCGTAACTCTACAGCCTCCACTTGAGCCGCTCACTCATCAGCAGGCAGTTCTGCATCTGGCCTAACCTACTCCGGCCTTACCTCTTCTGGCCTAACCTACTCCGGCCTGACCCCTTCTGGCCTAACCTACTCACTGTGTCCCAATTTCAATCAAAACACATTTCATTGCAAGTGTGGAGAGGCAAGGCAAGTGTTCAGACAGAATCATTGACTGGAAGAGGGAGGAGAGGCGGAGCCACGTGAGAGATTAGGCTGGAGTCGGTTAGTCCAGAAGAGGTTAGGCCAGATGAGGTTATGACCATGCTCAACTTGGGCATGCTTATGCAGTGGCTTTGTACTGACGGCGGCTATAGCTTCCAACAGTACCAATATACTTCCAACAAATCAGGTTCATCATCCCTGGATCTATCATGTAGGAAACTCCAGCTGCGGCGTCGACTTGAAGTCTAGAGATGGTGCTGGTTGTAGGCTCGAGTCTGACGTGTAGATAATTGGTAGCCCCGGCAATTGGTAAGGTTTCTACGCGTACTATTCTCTGCATAACCATTGATTCCGAGGCATCGTTCGTCACTGATTCGGTTACTTCTTTAGCAGGCTTAAACTGATACGTTGAGACACGACCAGTGGTTTGTCGTGGTCGAAGTCCTTTAGCTTGGAGTGTGGTCAACAGGCATTAAGGGAGAGTCTAATTCATGCTTTTCGTTTCTCATTCTGCAGTTGTGAAAAAATGAGCGTTGAACGCAGCAAACCGTATGTGTGTTCGAGCTTTAGTTTGTGCGTGAGGCAGTTTCTATTATATAAAAATGAACATTTCCTTACAAACGGTGCAAATATATATTTTAAAAAATTGTATGTAAAGATTTGTTATTCGCGTTAAACTGGACAACAGTAAGTCTTGTGGCGCTTGATGGCACCCTAAATGCGAGTAATAGGCGCTGGAGAAGCCGAAGATACATTACAAAGCAATTTTTTAACCTCAACTACTTTTTGGACCTGTTTCAGTTACTTGTCTCTCCTGAACAATCGAAATTTCCAGTTAACGCCATCTTGAAAAATTATCTTCTACTTCCATTTATGAGCTACAACATCGAGAACATATTATTCAGTTCGTAAAGCCCATTATATGTTTAATTTAATGTTTAAATTATATATTGTAAAAAAAATTATAGGAAATTTGTGGAGAGGAAGCGAAATATGGTAAAACATTATCTAAATCACAAAAAAAAATTTCTAGGGTAGCAAGATATTTGCAATACAAATTGAATGATATGCCTCTCGATGTTGTAGCTCGTAAATGGAAAGAGGAGATAAAGTTGCCCTTTTTTAATTTTCTTTACATATCACATTTTTCTTCATTATCTCAAACAATTTGAGGAAACAAAATGTTTAGGTATTTGATTTTTACATACGTGTATGAAGTTTCAGAACGATCGGTCAATTAATAAAGAAGGATTTGGGGGGTAAGACATCCCCTCTAACGGATTAGTTGAGACGTGGCTTTAGATTCGTCACTTGACATTGTTAGTGCATTTGAAGCAGCCGTAGTTCGTCTTCGCAGGAACAAATTGTACTCTTAAGTCTACACGCTGATGGTTGCTCATGCATCTTCATCGTTTACTCGAGCACTTCTTATTTATCACCACGGGAACAATCACTTGCTACCACTTGCCGCAATCGCAAATCCCGATCTCACTCACCGTCACACAGCTACTCTTTCGACCCACCAATTTTTAAACTAATCTCAAAGTTGGCAACCTCTTTCTTTAAAATAGATTCAGAATTTTTTCCTCTTTAATCACCTAGTAGTTCATCAATTTGTGTTAACCTTAATTAAGCATTTCCTTGGTGCCGCAAAACTCCCTACTTCAGGGACGTAAGATTCATAAGGCTGCATGTACAGATCCCATTAATTGGCTCCAGCGAACGTGTGATCTGTGAACATTGCAATCCAATCAAAGTGAATGATGTGTGTTTAATTACTTAGAAGAAGTGGAATAACTTGATCCTCTCGACATTCCGGCAGGTGAAATTCCTAATGAAATTAGACGTACCTTTCTACAGCTAAACTTTTTCAGCCCTTTGAATATAATTACTCGACCTTCTACGTTCTCACTCGAATAACCTTAACAAACCATTGCTTGATCAGGGCTGTGGATTGTTTTTTTCATTTGTCCTTTGCAGTTTGTGGACGGAAGCCGCGCAAGCACAGAAAAGGGAACGCCCGGCGCAACCTCTACCCGTGGCTGCTGGGGCTCAAGAAGCGGGAGCGCTACGAGTGCAGCGCCACTCTTATCAGCGACTCGTGGCTGCTGACGGCAGCGCACTGCGTCGCCCGGTACTCTCACTTATTTTACTGATTATTAAAGCATTTTAATCTGATAGTCCTGTGGCTTCATCACGAGTTGTCTTTCCGGGACACGGAGTAATCAGATTAAATAAAATTTTGAGCACCACAAGCTTCTGCCAACTTAATAGTTGGCAAATGTTTCCCGTTGCCTGTATTGAGTTTCTATCTAGCACTGGTATTTAATTAATAACAATAATCATCTTTTTGAGTTAACCGACCCCTGGTTCAGAATTAATAGCAATACACTAAATTATATGCAGTGCATTCTATTAACTTGTCGTGCACGCAGTTTTGCAATGGTTGGTTTCCCTGATAGTCGAGTATAGTTTGACAGTCGGAGATTGTCGCTATCGATACGCTTCAAATCATTCATTCGGAGTTAAAACATACTTATGATTGTAGATAATTATTCCATATTTTTACTTCTCTCCATCCTAAAATTGCACTTTTTCAGCATGCGTAAAAATTATTTTGAATATTATTTTTCGGCATCAGTGGCGCATGTGCCTCAATATTTACTCATTGCTTTCAGTTCAAACAGTAATTTTATTCATCAACTGTGTCCTGCAGTTCGCTGGAGAGCCGAAACGAGACAATGGACCCTCGTGACCTGAAGGTTCAGCTCACTCGGGATCCGCGTAACAACAAATCCGTAAGCTTTTATTCTCAATTCATGACTTATCTTCTTAAAATGATGATTGTTAGTCGTCGTTACCGTTTTTCTGTGCATTTTATAAAAAAATTTTCTTATTCGCGACTTTTCTTTGAATTTCATGTTGACACTTATGCTCTCGTTTACGGAACTATGCCTTCTCGTCAGGGTTGCAAAAACCAAAGATAATTTTTAAACTGCTGCACCTACCCAGGTTTTAATAAAAAACCCGGAATTTTACTGAAAAACTCGTACAAAATGGGTAAAATGTTTTTTTTCTCACTTATTTTATTTATACCTAGTTCAAGGTTCTTTTCAATTATGTTGATTATTAAAAATTCCATGCTCGAGAGTATCAAGTATCAACCATTATTACATTTACCATAGCTTTTAATCAATTAATTGTAAATTTTTATTAAACAATGAGCTAGTGATGCATTATTAACTTGCATCACTATTTAACAGTGTTATATCACAACTACAGTGTTATATCACTATATCACAACTACTGACACTCTGTGTCAGACTACTAATCAATGCCAAAAATATGTTTTAAATCAACCAACCCACTTATGCGATTTTCTTGTTTCTCAAACTCATATTTTTCAAGCATTTAAATTTTAAAACAACATTTTTCATTTATTTTTCCGTAACTTTGAAAAAATCGGACTAAGCACTCAAAATTTTTGTCAAACCTTGAGGCTTTTACTTTAGTAGATGCTCAGTAATTTCCAGGCATGTGTATTGCTACTAATAACGAGGGCTGCTAACTAGGAACCTAAATTATGCAAAAAAAACACATGTTCTTAGCAAAACCAAGTGTGCAAAAAACCCACTTGCAAAAGTGCTTATGTTTTTAAAAACAATACTTACCTTGACTGTTTGAACTTTTTTTTTCATTACCAGTATTTTTCTGAAGAATTTCAAAATATGAATTTATTTCACAAGCCAAATTATCAAATGGTTAAATGTATAAATGGACTAGGACTAGCTTCCCACATTTCACACACCTGACTCTGGGCTTGTAGCAATTATTTTTTTATTTAGGGCTGATTATGTAGCAATTAAAACTTGATTCATGAACTTTTGAGCTAATTAATAAAAAAATAATATCAAATATAAAGTTATAGTCTCAAAAGGCATAGTGTATGTAAATAGCATTGAGAAAATAATTATTTTTAGGGCTAATGTTTGTGTATTTCTGTTACATAGTGAGAAACTACACTATTTAGATTAAATTAACATCAATGCTGAAGTTTAAATAAAACCTATAGTTCAGGTAGGGCTAATATAAAATAGTTCCAAAACCTCTATGAACTCTAGCTATGATGTGACAAAAGTTGCTAACAATTTAGACAAAATCACATAATGGGCTTTGATATGAAGGAGATTTCTGGTGGTCACTTTTTGATATCATATTGTGATAGGTTTGAATGACTGTAGAGCAAGTTAGCGGACCTAGTATCATTAATAAAACTTTATAATGCATGGGATTTTCTAGGACTCAAATAAATGTAGGCTTTCGATAGCGGCTTGCAGTATACATATGAAATGACTGTTACTGTTTTCGTTCAAGAAAACTACTTCGTATTTACTTCGTAGCTTTTATCCATTATTATCGTTTTGAAGTTCGAAGCCTAAATCAATTTGATGCATTCTTAATTTTTTTTTTTAAATCCACCTTTCACTTTATGGTTTTCCTTATAAAAACCCCTGTTTTTTCGTTGCAACTCGGTTTTTTTCGCTGAAACCTACCCACCCACCCCAGCCCGGGTGGGAAGGTGGGCAGCTTCCCAGGCAGGTGCTCAGTACAACTCTGTTTCTCGTAGCATCACACGGTAACGCAGATGAGAAGCACTAACCAAAACTTGATATCTGTGCCCATAAATAGGTGAAGAAAATAATACTTAATCCTGACTACGAGCCCGGCCTTATTCCGCTCAACGACCTCGCTCTCGTGATGCTGGAGAGACCGTTGATCTTCAGCGAGAGCATGTACCCCGCTTGCATAAACTTCAATGGGGAAGGCTCCCGCAACAACTCCAAATCCCTGGTTTGTACAGCTCATTTGTTGTAGCATTAACAGCAGACTCTGACTGAAATAACTTTGTTTTGACCAAGGAATAAGGAATTTGAAAAAAAGAAAGAGGCACAGAATTTCACCATAACTTTATGAAGGAAAACTTTTCGGGGTCCAGCTCCATCGTCAGTTCGATATTCTAGAAAGTGAATTTAATGATTTTATGATCCAAAATTCAAAGTCAGACATTAAAATATAAAATAGATAAATGAAAGACAAATCGGCCTAGAATAACACAGCGAAACTGGTCAATCTTTTAACAATCTCACGGGGTTGGGGACTGAGTGCGGGATTTAAGCTAGGCTTCTGTTTGNAACGAGATGTGTATAAGAGACAGGCACATGGTTTTTAGGGCTACAAAGGGACAGGTTGCTTGTGGAACATGGTGTTTAGGGCTACAAAGGGACAGGTCGCTTGTGGAACATGGTGTTTAGGGCTACAAAGGGACAGGTCGCTTGTGGCACATGGTGTATAGGGCTACAAAGGGACAGGTCGTTTATTGGGGCGCATGGTGTTTATAGGGGTGCAAAGAGACCCGTCGTTTATTGGGGCGCATGGTGTTTAGGGGTACAAAGGGACAGGTCGCTTGTGGAACATGGTGTTTAGGGCTACAAAGGGACAGGTCGCTTGTGGCACATGGTGTTTAGGGCTACAAAGGGACAAGTCGTTTATTGGGGCGCATGATGTTTAGGGGTGCAAAGAGACCGGTCGTTTATTGGGGCGCATGGTGTTTAGAGGGTACAAACGGAGAGGTAGTTTGGGGCACACTGTCAGTGTCCGCATGATCCTCACGAGTCCAATATATTTAAGAAATATTACTGAAAATTTTATTGGTATAAAGCAACGTAATGATTTTTTTGGTTCACTATGCCAAAAACTAACGAGAGTAAGAAAGTAAGAAGATTGATTGATGGTCGAACAATAAGGGAAGACATTCAATCTGTAATTAATGACTCCTCTATGGAGTATCACTGAATCAAGTGGAGTTTCTAAAATGGTTTACAAGCACGGCTGTCAGGAGACGCAGAGATGTCAATGAAGATGGAAAAGAGAACAGGCTCTTCCAACCTAACTATAAAATGAATAAGATATTTCACCTGAAGAGGAAGAGTCGCAGCAAGTATGCATTGTTACATATTTGACGATGTTGAACATGTAACATAAATCTTCTTTTAGTTGAACATGTATTTTAAACCTTGTTGAACATACATGTTTAACTAAAAGAAGTTCGCAATCGTATTTTGGAAATCATCATTCATTACAATACATTAATAAAATCAATTCAATCGTAAAACTTGTACTTAAATTCTGCACATCCTGATGCAGCTGACCTTAACATCACACAGTGTGGACGACATTAAATTCATACATAGTAACCCTATGAAACGCGGAGCAACAAAAAGACAAAATTCTGACTTGATATTTGAGTGTATATTTGATGACATTACAATGTGGTGAAGTGTCCCTAATTTTGTACAATGTGGTGAAGTGTCCCTAATTTTGTACAATGCGGTGAAGTGTCCCTAATTTTTTACTCCACAGACTGTTCCGGACACCCCGCGTCGGGGTAAGGAGGGGCATTTTATTTAATTTTTATTATTTATAGTCAATGAAAGTTCCAATCATTGCTTAGGTACTTGAAAACTTAACAAGTGATTCAATGTGTATTATTTTTTGCATTTTGTACTTTATTATGGGAAATAATCATGTACTTTTAATTTAATTTATATTGTCCTATTATACCCCACTTTCTCCTACAACGTTTTAACTGAATTAATGCTTCGTGCACAATACTTCATGAAACTTGGGAATCGCTACTCTATCAATACTGCTCAAGTATTGTGGTATGAAATTCGCTAAGAGTTTAAAAGCCTATAAAAAGCCACGTAACTTCATCGTATCTTCAATAAAAACGTTTCGGTGACCAGCTCCGTCATCAGGTAAAATCTTTATTGAATACAAGGACAATCAGTAGTAAAAATAAATGTGAAAACGAATGAGATTTAAATATAAGTAACGAGAAATGACAGACGAAACCTGAACAACCTATCGAAGTACAATTCCAAGAGGATAGGAAACATGAAGGCGCACATAAGAGTGAAAAGTACACTCGGCAGAGTGAGATACTCGGTTTGACCTCTGAGGGTTCGAATTTAAGGATTTTGGGAATACCCGCATATTTTCAACCGGAAACTGTCTTGACAAATCGTAGAGTTATTATCCTCGGAAGGATAACGAGTGCTCACTTAAAGTACTCACTTGGTGTATCTCTAAAAGTATTTCCCCAAGGTACTCGCTTAAGAAACTAATATGATGCAGTCAATCGTTTTTACAGAGGATTGTGTGAATCTGTATAATAACTGTACTAAAGCAGCTACATTCATGCCGTATGCCTCCCTTGTGGCTTCTACCTAGTCATACAACTCAATACACACTCAAATGATAATGAAAGTCATTTCTGACTCTTCTATATTAAAATTGTTCATTAACTTTCAATAGACGTTATTTGATAACTTACTATTGTTTGTTTCGTATATCCAATCAGAAGAAAACAAGAAGCTGGTTGGGGTTTCATCAGAAGGGCCGTACATGGAAAACCTCGGCACGGACGCCGAAGAGAGCTGGGCTGTGTCCGGCTTTGTGTCCGCCTTCGTGGACTCCGTGGACAGAGCGGGCTGTGATCCGCCAGTGACAATTTACACAGCTGTCCATCCTTTCAAAGAGTGGATAGAAAACGTGGTTGAGGGTGGTCAATAACGGTCGAAGAGCAAAGTCTGACTCGTTGACTCTTTCACACATGGCGACTGTGATTACCTAATGGAATTGGCAGGGCATTGCCTTGAAACCTCTTCGACAATTTTCATTCTAACTTAGGAAACGGTTACTACGAGGATGAACAATATACACAACCAATCCGGATTAATTGAAATCGGTTGTCATGATAAAATTATATAAAGGTTTAAAGATCACTCAGTAGTTAACCGAGATTTTGCGAGTCAACGGTTTCGCATCCTCCTCTCCAGCGCTTTATTTTTATAGGCTAAATTGAATCTATGAAAAATTTGTGAACAGTTTCGATACCCTGGGCGACACAAAACCAAAAGTGTTTTTTGGTTGTGGTGCCCGTGACTGGTGATGGCTTTTGCCCCAAAACGCCTCGGGAAGAAATTGGTCTACATTTATTGTTTTCTAGTTACATTTACATTTATTGTTTAGCTATCAGAACCACCATTCCGAGATCTGTTCACAATGCCAATAAAGTGGCTATTCTTACCATTTAGTGAAAGTTCACACCTCACTGACTTTTTACCTAGCTGGTACTCCGCAGGCAACTGAACTTACTGAGCCCCATAAATAATTCTTAACAACAATGCTATGACTCCACTAAAATGGTCTTCCCCTAAGTTATGAGGACAATCGAAACACGAAAGTAGCAACTCATTTAGTATAATCTATTCTAATCTTAATCTTAAGTATAATCTATAATTATTTACATAAATGTATCTTACATGACTTATGTAATTCACTTATCTTTTGACTCCTATTGCTGGACGCCCATGGTCGGTGTCATCTTGGCTTCCTGAGACTGACCGATGGCTTTCTTTGTGCGCCTGTTTCTCTTCTGCTATTTCTTTTTCTTTGTAATCCTTCGTTACAAAACTGATTTGAACTTATTGAAGTCATTCAGCCTATTCTTGAAGTCTTTATAATTCAGCGCAGTTACCCATTAGCCCAAACTCTTTATTACTAACCATATTATTTCATTTATCTTAACTAACTACTAGCTCTAGTACTATAAAATCTCACATCAAATAATATAGAGTTTGTCTGATTCATTAACTTGAGTTGATAATTATGTAACCTGTTTTCCAAACATTTATTCAGTAAAGAGTAAGAGCACTTCCAGTTTTTCACTCTCCGATATTTAACACGGTCGTTACACGCTAGCCCAGCTTGGTCACATGACTCACACGGTCTGCCCCACTGGGCAATTGGTATTAACTGAGCGTTCAACAAGAGTTAGACCTTAATTAAGGGACTCATACCGCACCAGCGAGCATTGCCACGTCATACAGTCTCAAGTTCCGTCTCCGACACGAAAGCACTTTATGAGTCAGACTGTTCACATGAGCAATACAACGACAGATGCGAGCCTCGCAGGTATAAAGTATTGAACAGCAATAGGAATGCCTAGGAGAACACATACGAATTCGAGTACCACTCGAAGTATTACCGTAATATTTGAATATGGTGAATAATTAACCTCCAACTACCATCACTCCTCCACCAAATCTTCCAAAGCCGTGACGAGTCTCCCTCTGTCCACCCCCAACCAAGTTATGCTCGGAAAGATACGGGATGGGGCCTATTCAACTGTGTATGGAAGTCAATGCGGTTGGTATAGACTATGAGAGGTGGGATGAATGTTGCTCTTGTCGTGATGGGCCTTGTTGAGTGCCTGTTGTTACTGCGTGCATGTCAGTGAAAATTGTCGTGTAGTTTGTATAGTAGGTGTCGTTTGATTAATGAAGCTGCACTGGATTGGAGTGTGTTGTTTTACTGAAAGTTATGTGCATTATTGTTGACTATCTTTCGTTGATAGTAGAGTTTGGATAATTAGCAATAGTTTGGATAATTAGCAGCAATGGCAGAATAAGTGGTTCTTCATCCGAAAGTAAGTAATAATTAGGTCTAGGCTCGAGAATTATGGACAATCGGACATAGGAATACAGATCTTCATAAGAAGGTATTGTCGGATGAAAATGAACCAGGTAAGGGTCGGGACTAGCAGCAAGTATCTCAGGTGTAGTTTATACTGTCGAAAATATAAAGGAAGGTTAAGGCATACGCCGAGCTGGCATCTACAGAGCCCGATGAATGCAATGATCAAGTCATTATATGTCAGTATGAGGCAAGGCATATAAATAAATGCAATATATATGATCGTGACATATGTAGATCTTACAA